CCGATTAAAAAAAAAAACAAATTCTGCAATCTAGGAGTAGAAGGGAACTTGCTGAACTGCCAACAGCATCCATGGAGAGCTCTATCTATACAAACCCTCTAGGAGATCCCATCTGGCCCCGCAATTTTTAAATATTACTTATATTCTGGTGTTTTCCTACATTGCCATGACCCCAGACCTCTGAACCACAGACCGCCCCCCAGCTTCGTCCTTTGACATGCCTCCAGTGTCTGATCAGCATCTCAAACTCGACGTGCCCCAAACAGATTTCCCGATCCCCCCTCTTCTGAGTTCCCCTGTGGTATGCAGCCTAAAATTAAGGCCCGAAACCATGTGGCGTCCTGACATCTGGTGAAACTAGGAGGGCCCCAAGTGGCCTAACGGCAACTTCCCCTCCCCACTCTGCTCTGTGGATCGGGTCCCCTAATCAAACACACCTCATGAAGAAGACCAAGGGGCTGCCGAGTACCAGGTTTGAGCTCCCCACTGCCCATCGGATTATTCAAATAAGCCAATGACACCCTCGGGCAGGAACCAGGGGTCACTCCTTCCCCCTGATACTGCAGAGCCTGCCTCCCACGCTCCCTGGTTGTTCCCCGTTCCCAAGTGTGCCTGCCCCCCCCCTCTGCCTTGGCCCTATGTTGTGTGCTGCGTCCTCTCGCGGGTGGTAAGTACCTACGATCCATAAACTGCTGTCAACCTCATCTATTCAATGTCAGGTACAGTGTGTTTGGCTAGTCCCACAACCTTCTTTTTTTTTTTAACGTTTATTTATTTTTGGGACAGAGAGAGACAGAGCATGAACGGGGGAGGGGCAGAGAGAGAGGGAGACACAGAATCGGAAACAGGCTCCAGGCTCTGAGCCATCAGCCCAGAGCCTGACGCGGGGCTCGAACTCACGGACCGCGAGATCGTGACCTGGCTGAAGTCGGACGCTTAACCGACTGCGCCACCCAGGCGCCCCAGTCCCACAACCTTCTAACCCAGCGGTTAACTTCCCTCACACACAGGGGGAGCAGCAGGAAATTAAAGGGCCCAGGAACCAGGACAGTGGGCTCTAATGAGGCCTCTACCTCTGCACCGTGTATTCACCACAGGGCAAAGCGGGCCTTCTAGGACACAGGCTTGATCACATCATTCTTTTGCTCAAAATTTTCTAATGGCTTCCTATGACACCTTTGGGATAAAACCCAAAGCCCTTACCGGGGCCTTGAATGCAAATTCTTCCATTTCGTGTGCTATTAATCTCCCTTTCAACCGTAACATTCCGGCTGCCCCGGACCACATGGTACTCCTTGAATCCATCAAGCATACCCCTGCCTCAGAGCCTTTGCACGTTTCCTCTGCCTGGAATGACCTTCCCCTGGAAGGTTATCAAGCTCCATGGCCTAGGCCATTGGTTGTACTTCACAGCAGTTGATCTCTGCTCAAGGTCACCTCCCAGGGGCCTTCCTCAATCTCCTTCGATAAAAAGGCCCACCCTTATCACCCTTGCCTTGCTTTTTCTTCATTGTATTTCCTTAGCCCAACTATTATATATTTGGTACTACCTGCCCCCACCCAATTAGGGTAGAAGATCCTTCAAGGCAGGGACCTTGTTTAATGCTGTTATCTCCAGTGCCTGGAATATGCCTGGAACACAGAAGTTGCTCAGCATTGCATGAATAACCTGTGAACAAGAATGCCTGACTTTCCAATATCCTCACCAGATAGTCGAAACCTTTACAAATCTTTGGCAAATCTAACATGTGGGAAATAGTATCTATTTTAATTTGTATTTCTTTAATATGACCGAGGTGGAGTATCCTATCATTTTTTGGCTTGGCCTTTGTATTTCTTTTTTCCAGAAAGCTATCTTTTCATACCTCTTGCTCAGTTTGTCTGTTTTCTGTTGCTTTGCAAGAGCTATTGATACATTAAAGAAATTAGTCCTGTGTCCGTCACGTGCTACAAATATATTTTCCTAACGTGCCATTTGCCTGTGGCTTTGTAGTCTTTCCCTTTTGGCTTCTGCTTTTGGGGCACGCTCAGAAAGTCCTTCTGCACTCCAAGATCATCCAGACAGCTCTACTCGTTTACTTCTGACACTGTAACGTATATGTGGATGTAAAGGTTATGACGTTTAGATCTTTGATCCATCCGGGATTTCCTCTGGGGCATAAAGAATAAGGAAGCCATCTAGTTCGGAAAGCAAATTTAGCTTTAACATACAATGAATACAAATTTCCAGGTATTATTTATAAAACTTATTTTAATTTTGTCAAGAAACATTCATGATTTAAAAAATAATACAAGAGTTCACTTGTTTTCCAATACATGTTTTTATAAGCACATTTGTTACAGATGTGTGTCTATGTAAGCATGTATATGTAATAAAATTCTACTTTCCACGATTCTCTGGAATATTATACTTTGACATTATTGTCACTATTGAGATATTTTCCCAAGAGAGTTTCGATTTCATTTTTCTCAGTATTTTCTCCCTTTCCTGGATCTTGAAGATTTCTTTTTCGTTTTACTGTATTTTGTTTTGAAAAGTCTCTTTTCAATTAAGCTCACTTCTTCATGGAGAAAAGAGGTCTTTATTCTTAGCAGGAAGGCGAAGAGGTTTATTATAAACTGATAACTCAGAGAAAAATTTGATTCTTCATAGGTCGTCACATGTTTACAATAGCTAGAAAGGGAAGAAAAAGGAAGAAGTTATCTTAAAATGGCCATTTGGAAATGTATGCACCTATCCCTGACACATCCACTAAACAACCTCGCAAATATATGCGGTTCGGCTTAAAACAGTACTCTGAGTTGGGAGGAAACTTGGAACACCGGCAAATCTCCTTAACTTTAGAGGACAAGAGGTCAGCACCACCCATAGCTACCAGGCCAGGGTACCGGACGCCCCAGAGCCAGGCCTCACAATTCCTCGCCCAGACGTCCTTCCGTCCCAGGTGGGCTGCTCTCCTTATCCTGCTCGAGGCAAACAACGGCACACAGGAAGGGATTCTGGGCATATTTTTTAAAATAAAAGAAAATAAAATAAATAATCCCTAATCCCCACCCAAAATAAGACACCAGCCTTGATAACGTAGCCCGCAATCTTGTGCCTATTACAGAAACAAGAGTTCACAAAGCAATTTCACTGATCTTAAAAAGTAGTAGAACCTGAATCTGAGCAAATCTCCAACTACCACCAAATCTCTAATTACGGACCCCTAACTCACTCTAACTCTCCATCTCTAACTATACCAAGGTGTAGGCAATCCAGGGCACAGACGAACTAGTCTCAGGGGCTATGATCAGCAAAATGCAGGCTATGGGAATTTATACAGAACAAAAGGCCTGGGTTCTTCAACAAGTAATTTTTCCCTGCAAGGGGTAAAAAAAAAAAAAAAAAAAAAAAAAAAAAAAAAAAAAAAAAAAAAAAGACATACAAGGGGAATTTACAAACGAAAACACTCAAGGAACACCTTAGCTACTTGCCGTGTATAGGTCTTATTTGGATTGAATTCTATTAAAAATTTCGTAGCAATTGGAAAAATCTAAACATTGGCTGCATGTTTGATAGTACTGCAGAATTACTATTAGTTTTTAAATGTCTGATTAATGCTATTATGGTTTTGTTTTTAAAAATATTATGACATTTGAGATATGCTTCCAGATAATCTGGGGGTGGGGGTGAGGAGGGAGTCGGCGTGGGTGAAGCAAGTCCAGTCATGCTAACGGCAGTTAAAGCCGAATGACAGGTACAGGGAGGAGGGTTCATTAAACTAGTCTCTCTATTTTTTAATATACTTGACATTTTCCATAATAAGAAGCTTAAAAAACAAGTAAACAACATACACAGGATATGCGCTTTTAGGATTTATCTAACATATATGATCCTCGGTTCCTGAAAGAAAGTTAATGTTTGCCCCACAAAACTCTGCCCCCATCAGTTGTGCCTACGGACAACTATACTCGGTTCTCTGACCTGTAAAATAGGAAAAAATAACAGTGCCTGCCGCCGAGAGTAGACAAAAGCATTGAATGAGAACATTTATTAAGCACTTAACCCTATGGTTGGCACCTCGCAGGGGCTCAAAAATGCTCACTTCCACTATACTCCTTTAAAATTGATTTTTGTTTTCACTTAAAGTCTTAAGACTACTTGAATGATGATACACAACAAAGCCAACCTCCTACCATATTCACTAAGAGGAAATTTAAAAGCCTCAACTATTCATTGGTTGGTTTAACAGAAATCAAATATAAGCCATTTACACGAATTCTCACAAAGTGGTGCCCTCTTTTCTTTTAAATTTCAGCTATTGTGAGAGAGATTCTTTCAGACAAACGGTTACAACAAAAAGGGTTGTTACCTTGCGAGGCTCTACCTCTATACCAGAAAGATAACAAAAGGCATACAGATTATTTGCTCCCATAAGGGCTTTTATTTTTAAGCTGAATCCCTAGGAATACCTTCTAAGGATTATATTCTTTATCACAGACTCAGAAAACTATCCTAGAGTTGTAAGCCATCAAACTGAATACAACACACAACAGTTTGTTATTGCCAAGCATTCTGCTGTGAGAAGAACATGGGCCAACTGATGTTCCTTGATCTCTGACACGGAAAATAAATGAGTGTGGCAAATGGATGCTATAAGAATATGCTTACACAAACAATTTTATGTGAAGGGATGAAGTACAGGTTTACATTTAAAAGAGGGGGCAGTCAGTGTAAAGGTACATTTGAACTTCCTCATGAGAGCTTCCTTGAAAGAAGTTCAAATGTCTGCAAAAAGAATAGTTTCGCAAGTCTGTATACGTACAAAAATAAACCTGCTAACACGAGTTAATGTTTTGGTGGTCTGAAATAGGTTCAAATTTGGCATGTGACATATTTGAGTACTTTTTTTTTTT